TCCCAGCAGCTGCCTGGAGCTGTCAGTTGGTTAGGACTGGCCCTACCCCCAACCAGCCTGTCTTTATAATAGTGGTAAGACACAGTCCTAGGTGCGGCAGTGCTATCCCCACACGTAGCAGTGCATGCCTGTCAACATGGCCAAAAGGAACGGACTTAGTATCAGGTGGATCCCTGTCTTGGTGCGTTGGCTGAAGATGGTAGGAAAACATTGGAGCCCATGGCACATGTTGGTGCCACAGAAGGCTAGCCTGGCTCCAAATCATAGAATCCCAGGGCTGGAAGAGACCTCAGGAGTCATCGAGTCCAGCCCCCTGCCCGAAGCAGCCTCAGCTAAATCATCCCAGCCAGGGCTTGGTCAAGCCGAGACTTAAAAATCTCTAGGGATGGACCAACACTGCTGATTGCTCTCCTGGCACTTGGCAGCAGGCAACACAGGAGAGGTTTAAAAATCAAGGCTGGTGTTGAGTCGAAACAGCCTGGGGAACTTGGTGGAATCGATTTCTTCGGCCTATGCCCTATGGTGTGTGAGGTGCGTTTCTGGTCACTATCCTTCTGTGCTGGTTTTATTCGGTGCATGTTTCTACTTGCACTTATGAACTCTTCGTTGGCTGGGGCAGGGCCTTTGATGATCCTAATCACTGTTTGCTGTTTTCATAAGAATTCTTGAAACCTTCACCAGCAGTGCTGCTTGACGCCTGCCAGCCAGGGCACTGAGAGGAAAAGTGTGGCCAGGGGAGACTAAGACCTCCTAAATAGAAACTGCTTTTCTGGTGGGACAGTGGTTTTCACTTTCATAAGAAATGTCTTTGTGCTGAGCTCGTCCCTGCCTGTCTCTGTAGGTGCAGATCCCCAGCAAGAAAGTCGACATTTCCAAAGTGTCCTCAAAGTGCGGCTCTAAAACGAACATCAAGCACAAGCCAGGTAAAACGCCTGCCCTGTCCCCTCGCGCGTTGCCAGCTTGTGAGTGTTGGGTGTCAGCCGGGCATAACCTCCCATCACAACTGGAACAAGTTGGGGGGGGGCGGATGGTCTTCGGAAGGGAAGTATCTAGTTTTGTGTGGATGCAGCGTGAGTGCCTGGTTCAAGGAAGGAATCGGGAGAGCTGTGTCCATCCCAGCTGTAAGAGTGTCTTGCCCCAAAAGCAAGTTGTTACACAAGCTTCAAACAAAGCAAATCTGCCTCAGTTTCCCTGACTCTACATGGTGAGAGCCCTGTCTTTTTAAGGGTATTTAGGCTTACTGAGATCTTGAGAGGAAAGGCTTTGGAGAGAAGGGAAATAACCTCTCAGCACCTCTGGGGAACAGATGCAGGAGACCTTGTGGTGGTATAACAATTCATACTTTATAGAATGCTTGTTGTCAGATGAGCCTGAACCACTATCTGAGGGCTGAGCAGGCCCCTCTCTCTGAAATGCTGACAGGGTCGCGGTCCAAGGTGTTGCAGTTGCAGACCAGTTATCTGAATGTTGCTCTGTGTCAGATCAGGCTGACCCTTGAGTAAGTCCAGAGAGTATGGTCCAGCCCCTGGACTTTCTGGCTTTTACAGCAGCCAGGGCCGACCGTCCGCACACACGGGTCCCCTTACAATGAAACGTGTGCAGGCGAAGAAACCCAAGTTCACAGAGCAAAGCGGAGAACAAACGCTACAAGTTAGTCTTTGTTTCCAAAGGGCCCCCAGGCCCAGCCTGGGAGTCTCTTGGGTTGGAAGCAGTTCAACCTTGTGCACAAAATGTTATGGCCCCGTGCATGAAAATCTCTCTTCCCGCTCCGAGAACATCGTGTCAGAAGCTTGACCTCTGTGTATTCAGTGTTTTGCAGTAACGAGCTTTACACTCCAGTAACTGCTCTTGTCCAGGGCTGACTGGAAGGCAATAGTCTGGCAAGAACGATCTGTTATGTCACATTTTGAACCAATTGTGTGTGGCCAAAATGGTGGGATAAAATCCCTCGGCCAGAAAGAGTTCTGCTCACGCAAGCAAAACTGAGAAACTCCTTTCAAATGCTGAGGAGCTTATGTATTTAATGAGGTCCCTCGCCAGTGTTTGCTTTCGAATAAAATTGTTAGAGGCAGCAGAACGACACGCTGCACGTCCCCTGTTACTTGGGTAGGAGTTGCAGCCCTGCCGCGTTCACGGAGAACTTCCCACAGATCTCATAAGAACGGCCAGACCGGGTCAGACCAAAGGTCCATCTGGCCCAGTGCCCTGTCTGCCGACAGTGGCCAGCGCCAGGGGCCCCAGGGAAGTGAACAGAACAGGGATTCCTCATGTGCTCCCTCCCCTGTCGCCCATCTCCAGTCTCTGACAAACGGAGGCCAGGGACACCATTCCCGCCCATCCTGGCTAACAGCCATCGATGGACCTAGCCTCCATGAATCCACCTAGCTCTTTTTTGAACCCTGTTCAAGTCCTGGTCTCGAGTGGATCTTGGCCTCCCAGTCCCTCCAGCAGAGTGCAGCTCTGTCAAATCTCGGAACTGGCTTATTTCTCCCTCTCCTCCCCTCCCTCCCATGTTCAGGTAGGGCAGGGGTGGGTTGGAGGCCGCTGACCCCAGAAAAATTAGTCGGGGGCCACACATGAAAGTGAGAAGCAAAAAAACCCAACCCACCACCAAACCTTCACTGCCGTGGCCCCGGCTGCAAAGGAGAAAGACCCTCCCCTGATTCCCCTCGCACCCCAGAGCCTAGAGGGGCCCAGGCGAGTAGATTGTCTGCTCCAGCCCTGTGGTGGGGGCGGT